GGGATCAAAGGGCATCCTACAGTCTGGCAACTGCCTAAGAAAAATGGCAGCACTTCCATGAAATATACCCTAAAATAATTTTGCGGCTTGGTATGTCCTAATTTCAAATTGGATGTTTATCTTGGAAAGGCTTCTATCTAACTCGTCCATAAAACAGCCCCACTTAGCTCCGGGAGCTCTGTGAAAATGGAATCCAAAGCTGGTTCTTAGGGGCTGAGAGATGTGTTCCATATGGCAGAACAGCGTGGAGGGCAGGCGGGGCCACACCAGGCCCGGCTTGGCTGGAGCTCCCGAGCTATCCACGGACACTAGTTGCATTACACCAAGACATCTGGATTATTGCTTGTCACGTCCCTGGGAAATATCCACTTTCCATCAAAGCCTTTAAATATCTCAGTCGGACTTTGAACATTTCAGTATTTAGTGCAGTCATGTTTGATGTGATGGCCTGCCCTTTACAGTCCAAGTTGGTTTGGGTCCCCCTCCCCACCCCCTGACTACAGACAGGGTGGGAGAAGTATTTATCATCGTGTCCACAGAGAGAAAAGAACTCCACACCTTGATTCTACTTATTCCACCCTAATTATCTCCTTCAACGCACTATATGGTTATATCCAAAATAATATTTCATCTGCAAGCACCACATACTCTATGCTACATGTGAGTGTTCAGGACATTTCTTAATTACTCTAACATCTTGCTTCTACCCTGGAGGCTTGTCATGAGGCCTGAGAAGCATGAGTCTGTGATTGGGGGCAAGGACTTGGCCTTGATGTGTGAACTCTTCGGCAGTCCTGAGCTCTCAAGATCTTTTGTGCTCTCTGCAAACACTCCCTCTCTCCCAGCCCTGAATTGTCTCATCTGCACTCACTCAGTTAGCCTAACAGTTCAAGCTTTCACTCTTCCGCCTGAGTCTCTAAGTGAAGTTTGTCATCTTAATGCAACTGTGGGAATGTGAAAGGAGAGGAGGAAACGACCCATCAAAGGGGATGCCAACCCCACCTGAAGGGCACAAACACCAGGAGAGCGTGCAAAGCTCCTGGGTCCTGACCCTCACTGCTCAGCAGACAGGACAGATGAAATAGAGGACAGAGGGGCTTGCGATTTTTCTCCTTCCTCCCAGAGGATCACAACCTTTGAGGGTTTCGATGTGGATTCATTCACATTCTCTCATCTTCAGGCCTCCACCCCACCAAATCGACATCCGTTCTACACACAGCGGTTAACTTGGGTCTGCACACACGTGCTATTATTCATAGTGGACACAAGATACGGTGTTCTGCTTAGAAATATGTTCACAACCACAAAAAAAAAAATAGCCCCCAAAGCAATCATTTACTTCTGGCTTCTGACAGTCCACAGACAAGGTAGGAAAGGAAGGCACACAGTGTTGTCGATAGAGAACAATTGCACTGTCAGGTTTTCTAGGCTGTAACCTTTACAGGAACAGGTTGCCAGGGTTTTCTCCTGCTGAGATTCAACAACCTTTGAGTTAGTAGTCAGAGGCGTAACCACTGTACCACCGGGGACTTGCCTTATGAAAGACCTTCAGCACACTTCAAAAGAGCCAAGAATCTTCAGAAGTTTGGATCTAGGAACACACTCTCAAACACAAGTAGGCGGACCACTCATCCTGGGACATACACAAGGCACAAGAGCGTGGAGAGCTATAGTATGAGATGATTGTGGCCAAGCGGCCTGTGGTAAAGACACTGATGTGGACAATCAGTGTCCCTTTTCCCTGGCGGGGCTGCAAAGAGAAACAAGGGGCTGATGGGCCTGCCCCGTCAGTGTCTCCTCTGCTCTGTCCTGGGTCAGGAGCAAGGGCACGGATGTCAGGAATAAGAAAAGCCTGCAAGAGGGGGGCACCAGCTGCTGAGGCCAGGGTCCACACCCATCCGGACCCACCTTCCATTCAGCTGGCCACACCCCTGAAATGATCATGTTGACCAAGTTAATAAAAGTTGACGTCGGTTACTTCTGACTCATGGCAACCCTGTGCGATTCACAGGGCTCCCGTGGTGGATTTCCTGAAAGCAGGTTGCCACATCTTTCTTCTCAGGCACACTGGGCAGTCTCACACTGCAAAG